GGAGAGAGCCACCCTGACCCACACCCCCCCACCCCCGCCAACCCCTCCAGGGCAGTCTCACTCTCCAATCAGGCCCAGGGTGTGCTGGCCCTACCTCAGCACAGGCTTATTCTATGGAATCCTCAGCCTGGAAGCCACCCACCCCACCCACAGCCTGATCTTCAGGGAATAACTGCTTCAGGAGGGCTGCGACTGGAGGAGCCTTCCTGGGTGCTTATCCCTGCCTGCCATTGCATTGGGGTCTGGAGCTTAAGGACAAAGAGCCTGTGACTGATTATCAGGCAGTGAGGAGAGGAAGGGAGGGAGTGGCTCATGAGGTGGAGAACCTCAGGCAGGTAGGGATGCTCTGTCCTACAGGAGCTGGAAGCCAGCAGGCGGGAGGCCAAGGCAGAAATTGTTCAGTGGTCCTGCCTTTGTCCCCTTTTCAGGAGCTGCCTGGCTTTAAGGGAGTGTGGAGGAATAGCTTTACCTTCTAGAAGAGGGGGAGGACACTCCTGCCAGAAGGAATGTGATGGGCAAAGTGGGCAAGTGGAAGGGTAGTGGCATGCCAGCCAGTGTGTACAGAGATTCTAGGCCAGAACAAGAGGAATGCAACATCAGGAACCGACAAAAAGACCTGACACAGCTAGAGGCCAAGGGGAGGGTGGAGGCAGGGCCTGGAAGGCCTGGGAGCCAGCAGGCCAGTGCTGACTAACAGCCTGGCTGGCTGCCGTAGGCACAGCCTTTGCTGCTCAGGCCCAGGCAGGCCTTGGCAGGATTGAGGCCAATTCCTGGCCCCTGCCTTGTGCCAGGGAAGGTGTGGCCTGGCAAGAGAGCTTGTTGCCGGCATTCCACTCAGTCCGCTTTGGTCTTCGTTGGGTTCCTTGGTTTTGTTTGATTGTCACTCCCATAAGGAGAGCTTGTGAGCCTACTTCTGACAGCTCCGTGCTGGTGATTGAAGGGACACTGGGACCATGAAGTCTCAGTGTTACCGCTCTGTGTCAGATATATAGAGATCCAGGATGGGGAGCCTGTCCCCCCAGCTCCATGCAGGTGATTATCCAGAGGAGCCCCCTCTGGTCCCCAGGCTGCTCAGGTGGGGGTGAGGAGCCATCTCAGTCAGGGTGCCCTATTGGGTGTCACAGAAGGAGGGAGGGATGGAGCACCCTGTGCAGGGGGCTGGGTGAGGACTTAACACACAGCTGCCCTGTGTCGCACAGAGAGAGAAGAGCTGGCAGCAAGGGCAGAGGGTTCCAACTTCCCGCCCCAGGAACCAGGACATAGTGTGCAGGTGAAGATGGCCCCTGAGGTCCTCCCAGCAGAGCTACACTGCTGGCCATCAGAGACTGCCCCCCGGACAGGCACTGAGCCCACCTACAGTCAGGGTAAGTCTAATCAGGGGTAGCCCAGCACTGCCCCCTGGGCCTCCACAGGATGGGTTTCCCAACAGAGGCCCCTCCCTACCCTCAAGGGTGCACCTGAAAGCTGGCCATGGGGATAAGGTAGAAAGCGGGCCGGCAGCGAGACCCAGCTGAGGGCTTGGTGAGGGTGGAATAGAGAGGGAGGGAAGGGAGAAAGGTCCCAAGAGCCCCTCATGCCACCCTCAGCTTCTCTGAGGGAAACAGCTAGGCCCATTGTAGAGCTTTGTCTGAGGCTGCTTAGCTGTGGGATGGGAGGGGCAGGCACATGGCGGGAGGAGTCTAAGAGGGGTGGCCGGATCAGGCTGGACTAGATAGGCGTCCATGTCAGAGCCCAGCTCCAGCATGTCAGAGCCCAGCTCCAGTCTTGGGTCATCACTTCCAACCAGCCAAGCCCTTCAGGGACTCCTCAGGACGAGGGCCTTTCGTAGACCCCACTCAGGAAAACAGGGACTAGTGCCAGGCCCAGGGAGCCAGCCCCGCTCCTTTTAAAGCCATGGGGCTGTGGAGGAATGTGGACACCAGCCAGAGCAGGGTGACTCCCACTCGTTCAGCTCCCTAGAGGAGGCAGCCAATCCTGGAACTGCTGCCTCCAGGCTCTAGTAAAGACAGCACTTGCCCTGAAGCCTTGGGGACAGTGGGCGCCCTGGGCTCTGGGCCTTGCGTTCTCCTTGCTGTGTGAATACCCTGGGATGGTTGGGGAATAGCACTGTTACTGTATTTAAGGCCTTGAAGGCCTGTGGAATCCTTGGGAAGGCTCAGGAGGCTCGCCCGTGTCCCAGCTCCTGGGTTCCCAGAGTGCAGGGTACTCTTGGGGCATGGGGGGCAGTTCCCATGCCCTATACCCCAGTGCCAGAACCAAACAGCCAGGGAGGCAAGTGAGAGACAGGAGGAGACCTAGAGACTTCCGGGTCTGTACAGAAAGGGCTGAGCGAAGGCACCAGTAGTCTGACCCAGCAGGAAGGGGAGGTTCTTGGAGCTTCTGTCTTTCCAAGGGGGAACTGAGAGCTGAGTTGAGGAGGGCAGGTAGAGCCAAGAGGCTGCAGTCTAGACTCAGCCCCCACGGTCCACCCCACAGTCACCAGCTCCAAGGTCCCCAGCGGTGGGAGTGCCCAGCCACCCGAGGACCATCCAGGCAAATCAGAGCCGGGCAGGGCCAAGTCACGCCTCCTGCCCAATATGCCAAAGCTGGTCATCCCCTCGGCTGCCACCAAGTTTCCCCCTGAGATCACCGTTACACCACCCACCCCGACTCTGCTCTCGCCCAAAGGCAGCATCTCGGAGGAGACCAAGCAGAAGCTGAAGGTGACGTCGGGTGCTCGGTGGGGTGGGGAGAGCATGGGCGGGGGCACAGGCTACAGGGGTTGTGGGGCCAGACCCACATCCCTGACCAGTGCCCTGCCCTGGCCTGTCTCTGCAGTCAGCCATCCTGTCTGCCCAGTCGGCCGCCAATGTGAGAAAGGAGAGCCTGTGCCAGCCGGCCCTGGAGATCCTAGAGACCTCGAGCCAGGAGTCCTCGCTGGAGAGTGAGACCGATGAGGATGACGACTACATGGACATCTGAGGGGTGGGGGCCGCCCACCTGCCTCGGCCTAGTCACTGCTGGGCCCCTGGCAAGGCCAAGAACCCGCATGGGGCGCCCTTCCTCACTCAGCCCCACATTCTGCCCAGCCTCCCTCTATGTGGCATCTTCCCTGCCTGCCTGGGCCTGGGGCTGTGCCCACCGCATGGGGGCCCAGAGGAGGCCAAGGCCAGCCACAGGAAGACGAACAGGACACAGTTTGCACAGCAGGGAAAACTTTGTAACAAGCCTACATCCAGCACAGGTGACCGTGTCACGCCTGCACACTCGGACAAGCTGGGCTCTACCTGTGTCACAGTGGAGGGTTCATTTAGGGTTGGGCTCACCCCACCTTCCTTTTTTTGGTTTCTTTTCTAATAAAGATGGAACAGTTGTCTTTATCTTTTTGTTCACCCTGAGGGACTGGGGTTGGGGCTCAGGCCTACCCAGTGGATTGCTGTCAGGTGTGTCTGGGACTCGTCCCACAGATCAGGGCCCTGCCCTCAGGCATCCCAGGAAGCAGGTTAGGATGGGGGTCAGTGGGGTGAGAGGTGGGCACAGCCCGGAGTCAAGCTGGGAGACCCAGCTGAGACTGACCAGGCCTAAGACTAAACATGGGTGGTGGGGGGTTGGTGGGATTGTTCCCCTAAGAATGCAGAAATTCGAGTGTGAATCCCACTGGGATGTGGGTAGAGGGAGGTAGAGGGGGGCAGGAAGCATCCGGGCCTTGCTGAATTGCTGCCTGGGACCCTGGGGCTGGATATCTGTGCCAGGAAGTGTGTGCTGGGAAAGGAAAGGTTGGGCCTGGGCCTCCCGCCACACTCCTCACCCTCTGACAGTGCCAGTCACATAAGTTGTGGACTCACTGCAAGAAAGAAATACAGGGCCCTATTCAAAATCTAAGTCTAAGACTTTTTGAAAGGTGGCAACAGAATATCAAGTAAGCCTACAGGTGGTCGCAGGGCTGGGTGACCAGCTGCCCCCCACCCCTCCACCGCAGGGCCTGGAGTATAGAGTCACCCCCCACCCTCCCGCCCCACCGCACTGCACACACTCTCATCCTCCCCTAATGCAAACAGCTAGAGCACCAGGCTAGAAAGAAGTGGCAACCTGGCCTCCTCTAGTTCTGCAGCGCCCCCCACCCCACCAGAGCCCCTTCTGTTGTGGAAGGAATGCTCCCAGTGGGCCCACAACACGCTTGAACACATCCAGCAGCATTTCAACCATTCTCTTTCCTTAATGAGTGCTATAGGGAGCACCCTTGCCCCTGGGATGAGTCTTAGCACCAGACTCAGTGCCACATACTGTGCACCTTCGTCCAGAGTTGTCCAGAGCATCCAGCCACTGTGTGGTTCCCAACACCCCCAAACTAGTCTCCCTTGACACCTGTGAGAGCCAACCTTGCCCACCAGGGTAGAGAGGCTGGTGCCCAGGGGACAGGTGCTGGCCAGGGCCACAGGCTGAGATGTAGCTTACACTCAGCTCCAGCTCCTGTGAAGCAGGGGAATGTTACTTTTGAAAACTCTGAGAAGCTGCTACCGGGGAGACACCCAGGTGGCTGGGGCCGGGTTCCTGCAACAGCACAGAGTGCTCCAGCACCCACACACAGGCCGGGGGTTCCTGCAGGAAATAATTTGCTCCCTTTCCCCACCAGGCTGTGGGGAGAAACTGGGAATACCTATCCCCCCCCCCCCCAACACACACACACACACACACACATGGAGACTGGGGAGAGGGCTGGAGGCCCAGGGATTGGAATCCTGGTATGAAAACAACCCCACCTATACCTTACCCTACAGCATCGTATCTCCTAAGGGAGCCCCACCCTGGCTGCCTGGGGGATCGCAACTGGGATCTCTGGCCCCCTCCCTCTTGTCCTGGGCCTGTTAGGCCTGGAATGTGCTAACAGGGCAGGTCAGCCCCAGCGTACCTGTGGACTTTGAGAGGGGACCGGGTCAAACTGGGAGGGCGGGGCAGCCACTAGGAGGATCCGGCAGGGGCGGGGCCAGGATGTAAGGAGGGAGCCAGATCACAGCCTCCCAGTCCCTGCTGTGCCGGCTGCAGAGATTGAACAATGAAGCTGCCCCTCCTGTCCTGGGCCCTGCTACTTCTGGCATCAGCCCCTGGCCCAGGCCCCCAGCCAGCATCAGGTATGCCCCCACACTGCAGCTTCAGTCCTGTCCATCTGCCTGCTATAGCAGAGAAGGGGGTGGACACCTCTTGGCTCAGCCTCTGTCCATGACTGTATTGGGGGCAGTGGGAAGAATTCCAGGGGGGGCCTAAGTCCAGAGTTTACTGGTGGGATGAGGGGTCTGGGCTGTGTCCATCCAAAACTCCCTGGGAGCAGGGAGGTAGCAGCTGCCTGGGAGGGCGGTGGTCCAGAGGGTGGCTGGCTCTGAAAAGCCCTGGCCTCCACCCGGAGCCCTGACAGCTGCTCGCCATAGAGGAGTCCTCCAGCCCCACTGGGCCCCCTGCCCGACCAGAGGCAGGATTGTGGTCCTCATCAAGCAGAACTGAAACCAAGAAGCTCAAGGGATGTCCCACACTACAGAGCCAGGACCCCAGCCCTAGGCTGGGCTGGGCTGAGCTGGCTGTTCCCAGACCCCTCCTCATTGCAAACCACCCCCCAAGTCCTCCCCACCCAGCCAGGACCCCCCTCCGTACTGGGCCTCTATTGCCCATCTCAGGGACAAGTACTACTACCCTCCCGCCACTGATCTCACTTACTGGCATCACTCAGCTCCTCCCCCAGCCCCTTGAACAATCACTGTCTTAGCAACAAATATTTATTGAAGCTTCCAAGTGCCAGATGCCCTCCTGAGTGAAGTAAGCGATTCAGGCCAGGTCTGGTTCCTGACTGGCCCCGGTTGAAAGTGGCAGAGAAGAGCTAGGTGGGACATGTAGTTCCAACCTCAGGGCCTGCGTCTCACCCGTCTCCACCTTCAACCCCCCCGCCACACCAGTCCCGGCAGAACAGATCCCACGAGAACATAGCCCCACCATAGGCCCCCACGGTGGGAAAGGCTGGGTCCTAGTGTACACAGCCCCCTCCAAACCACTCTCCCCCATCCTGGCCCCACTGGGCCTTCTGCTAGAAATGTTCTTCCACTTCCCTAAGGGGATGGGATGGACATTTTCTTCCCCTCCCCCTCAGGGTAGGACTACCATCCACTTAACGGTTGCCCAGCAGAGGGAGACAGGCCAGCTCAGCCCAGGCACCATTCCCTGTCAGGCTGCAGGCCCATTCAAGGGAATGGAGACAGGTTCCTGGCCCATGTGGCCATCTGCGAACAACCACACAACTTGGTGGCTGAGGGTCAATCATAGCCTGGGGGCTCCCGAGGCTGCAAAGTGATTTATCTGGGGGCATTTCCTCCTCAGCTCAGGTCATTTCGGCCAGTCATTGAGGCCAAGTGCTAAATCATCTATGTAAAGACTCCCCACCCCATGGGCCTCTGGGTTTCCTATGCCCAAGGACGGGTCACATGTGGCCAGTGTGGTCTCCAGGGACTGCTTCTCTCTAATGGTCTCGTGGAAAGTAAACTTGGGGTCCTGCACGTGGGGCACCCAATCTGGCACTCTCAGGGGCCGGCGCTCAGGGGCCTCTCTTCCAGGTTCGGGGAGCTGCTCCCAACGCTGTGGGGAGCAGAGTGGGCTATGTTCCTGCCATCCAACCTGCGAGGGCCTGCAGACCTGCTGCTCCGACTTCCTGTTCTTCTGTCTAAAGGTCCTGCCCTACTCAGGCTCCCTGATGGGAGGCAAGGATTTCGTAGTGCAGCACCTCCACTGGAGCAGCACCACCACAGGCGTGATCTGCAGGTGGGAGGCCTGAGGGACTGCGTGGCCAGGGCTCTGCAAACGCTGAGGCCCAGACTGCTGGCTGGCTGCACGGGTCCCCTGGGAGGTCAGGAGCCCAGGTGCCCGAGTGTTTTCGGCCCACCCTGGCCTAGACTCTGCTGACACAGCCCCCCTGCAGGTTTAATGAGAGCATCGAGACCCTTGGTCACGTAGACACCCAGGGACGTGTGCACTGTGTGTCACCCTTGCTCTACGAGACTGGCCGCATCCCCTTCACAGTCTCCATGGACAATGGCATCTCCTTCCCACGCTCAGGCACCTGGCTGGCTGGTGAGCTATACCTCTCGGGTTCAAGCCATGGGCACCGCCCCACACTCCCCAGGTCCTGGGCCCCCACAGGGACTTTCCCCAGTGCCCATGTAGTCACACCTGGTCCTCCTACACTGTGCCCTGCCTCTCTGGCTGAACCAGTCCTCGGGAGGGACCACAGAGGCACAGTTCCACGACTCCTTTCCTCATCCCCTGCCATCCAGACAGGAGCCCCAGCCCAGAGGGAGTGGGCAGTATACTCCCCCAGCAGGATGGGCCAGCCAGGCCAGGGGGTGGGAGAATCCAAGCAGAGACCAAAAGCCTGGGCAATAGAGGGTAGGGGCTCTGCCCTTTCCTGCCCCTTTCCTGCAGGTCTCAATGGGCCATGGCTCCCTTGCCAGGCTCTGTCCTTGGGAGGCCCCCACAACTCTCAGATTCCCTGGACTTCCTCACTGGGCCCCAGACCCTCATCCACTCCTCACCTTTGCCTACCCAGTGCACCCCAGCAAAGTGTCCCAGACAGAGAAGAGCCAGCTGGTGAATGAGACTCACTGGCAGTACTACGGCACCGCGGGTAACATGGGGAGACTCACCCTGAACTGGAGCACCCAGGCCCTGCCCACGCAGGACGTGACCATCGAACTGTGGGGCTATGAGGAGAAAGGTGAGGTCGACTGGGGCCTAGATAGACTGAGGAACTCCACCACATGTGTTGGGGCTTGGGGGGCTGTCAGGAGCATTGAGCTTGCAGAGATGCGAGAATGGGAGTTCCAGGTGGGAGGAAATCCCAGGTGAGGATTTGCAAGCATGGGAGGCGCAGGCTAAGGGGCACGTGGGGGTGGACGGGTGCCCACTCGAGTGGGTCCTTGCAGGAGCAGCTGGAGCAGCAGGGCAGGAGCATCTCTGGCGACCATCTGTCCATCCATCCAGCTGCTCTAAGCACAGAAGATTGTTGCCCAGCCCATCCCTACCCCAGGGGTCCTCAGAAGTGCCCCAGGGCTGACCATAGCCTTCTCTCCCTCAGGGAAGCCATACTCAGATGAGTGGACAGCACACTGGTCGTACCTGTACACCCTGGCCTTGAAAATCCCCAACTCTGGCACCTTTACCTTCCTTCCAACACCTGCGCCTCAAATCTACCAGAAATGGAAAGTGGGTGCGCTTCGTATCATCAGCAGCAGACACTACGCAGGAGAGAAGTAAGGGCTGCAGAGGCTGCGAGGCTCGTCCCAGTGGGGCAGCCACACTTGGCGGGGAGCCAGGGGCTGGGGTGTGGGTCCATCTCAGTGTGCTCTCGTGCCCCCTGCAGGGATGTGCACTCACTCTGGAGCAACGAGCACGCACTGGCCTGGCACCTGAGCGAAGACTTCCGGAAGGACTCTGTGGCCTGGGCCAGGGCTCAGTGCCTGGCCTGGGAGGAGCTGGAGGACCAGTTGCCCAACTTCCTGAAAGAGCTGCCTGACTGTCCCTGCACGCTGACCCAGGCTCGGGCCGACTCTGGCCGCTTTCATGTGAGCCTCCACCCCAGTCTGCCCAGGATGGGGCGAAGGCATAGGGCGAGGGGCTGATTTCCCCATCACACGCACAGCCAAGCCCACCCAGGACAGCCATGAGAGAGGGGCAGAGAGAGAAGTGGCGGGGCTGAGGGGTGAGGGTGCCTAAGGGGTCTCCCGGGGAGGTGATGCAGGACCCTGGGAGGGTGACAGCAGTGGGCTACTCTGCAGACAGATTATGGCTGCGACATCGAACAAGGCAGCGTGTGCACCTACCACCCTGGGGCCGTCCACTGTGTGCGCTCCGTGCAAGCCAGGTGAGCCCCCAGATAGTGGTGGAGCGCAGGGTGGGGGCTTGTGGCAGGCTTGCTATGGCAGCCCTGACCTGTCTGCACCCCCAGTCGCAAGTATGGCTCGGGACAGCAGTGCTGCTACACGAAAGATGGCACACAACTCCTGACAGCCGACTCGACCGGCGGCAGCACCCCAGACCGAGGCCACGACTGGGGAGCACCCCCATTCCGCGTACCGCCCAGGGTGCCCGGCCTCTCCCACTGGCTCTACGATGTCATCAGCTTCTACTACTGCTGCCTCTGGGCACCCGAGTGCCACCGCTACATGCAGCGGCGGCCCTCCAGCGACTGCCGCACCTACCGGCCCCCTCGTGTGGGTGAGTGCCGCAGGGGTGCGGGGGCCAGGCCAGGCCAGGCCAGGCGGGACGGCTCACCTGACCCTCTGCTCTCCTCAGCTTCCGTGTTTGGGGATCCACATATCATTACCTTCGATGGGGCCAACTTCACGTTCAATGGGCAGGGAGAGTATGTGCTGCTGGAGGCGGAGCTGACCAACCTGCGGGTGCAGGGACGGGCCCAGAATAGGACGGCACCCCAGGGTAAGGCCGGGGCCTGGGGGCTCAGGGTGACTTGGGATCATCCCAGGTGGGAAGTGGGAATTGAGTGCCAGGCAGCCCGGAGGGCTAGGGAGCTAGAGCTGCCTCAGAAACTAAAGAATGGATTACTCCAGTCCTGTTCTGTACCCACCACCCCAGGTTCAATGATCAGAGGCACAGGGCTGACGGCCGTGGCGGTCCAGGAGGGGGACTCCGACGTGGTGGAGGTCCGGCTGGCTGCCAGTGTACTGCAGGTGCTGCTGAACCAGCAGGTGCTCAGCTTCACCGAGCAGAGCTGGATGGACCTGCGGGGTGAGTGGGGTGGCTGCACCAGGTGGGAGGGCCGCCCTCAATCCTACTCCCACCTCTCACCAGCCCTGTGACAGGATGTGCAGGGTCCAGATGGGGGCTTCCCGGGGCTCACTGTGGGGTAACAATAAGCCTCTGCTATGTTCCCCACCGCGGAGGTCCAGCACTATACACGTGTCTCCAGCCTCTGGCAGGAGTGGTTCCAGGTGTCAGGTAGTAGGGTGGAGCCTGGGGAGCCCAGTCTGTTATCACACCTTTGTAGAATTCTTCACTGGGGCACCTGGTCAGAGTACAGAAAGGATGGAAGAGTCTGGAACTAGAATGCTAGTGCTGCCGGGCGGCCCTGAAGGCTAGGGAGCTGGCGCTGGCGCTGTCTCCAGAACTAAAGAATGAATTATCCAGTGGGGGTGGGTGGGGGCCTGGTATGGGCCTATTGCTGCTGAGGGTGCCGGGACCCCTGGAAGGACAGAAGCAGGCATGGCTGGCTGTGCCTCCCACTGGGGGTTGAGGCCTGATAGGTGACTCCCATGAGTGCCTCCGGTATGTGGGGTGGCCCTCCGGCATCTGGAGCATCCAGCTGAGGGTCCCAGCATTGGTGTGGGCTCCAGGAGTAGAGTAGCAGACAGCAGCATTGTCCTGGGGACACTCCCTTCCTCCAAAGTCCAGGGGCGCTGGCCCACCTGTCCAGAGACTGTGGGGTCTGGGCCTGGTGCCCACCGGGGACACACCTGACCACCTCCTCCACCTGCACCAAGGCATGTTCCTGTCAGTGGCTTCTGGAGACAAAGTATCGGTCATGCTGTCATCGGGGGCTGGTCTGGAGGTCAACATCCGGGGTCAGTTCCTGAGTGTGTCTGTCCTGCTGCCTGAGAATTTCCTTAACAACACACGAGGCCTGCTGGGAACGCTCAATGGTGACCCCAAAGATGACTTCACCCTGCCCAATGGGGAGGTCTTGTCTCCCAACGCCAGTTCCCAAGAGCTATTCGAGTTTGGGGCTCGCTGTGAGTGCTCGGGGGCTGGGAGCACGGTGGGGGCAGGGTCACGGTGGAGTGGGGGCGGGAGACCCTAGGCTCCTGGCCTGCCGTGACCCTAGCTCAGGCCTGCCGTGTGCCTCCCCAGGGGCTGTGAAGAACAGCTCATCTCTGCTCACCTACGACTCCGTGGACCTGGTCCACGCGTTCCTCCATGGACCCAAGCACGATCCCACCTTCAAGCCCCTCTTCCCGGAGGACATATCCCTCAACCCAGACCAGGGAACTGAGGTGGCCAAATTGTGTGGGGGCGACTACTTCTGCAGCTTTGATGTGGTGGCCACCAGGAGCCTGGACATGGGCAACGCCACACGGATGGCCCATCAGTCGCACCAGTGGCTTGTGCAGAGCCTGCAGCCAGGTGAGGGTGGCAGGGAGGAAGGGGGGGACCTTGTGCTGCTGGAGGCGGAGCTGACCAAACTGCGGGTACAGGGACGGGCCCAGAATAGGACGGCACCCCAGGATAAGGCCGGGGCCTGGGGGCTCAGGGTGACTTGGGGGTCATCCCAGGTGGGAAGGGGGAAAGTGGGTGAAGGGGGGAACCTTGCATGGGCAAGGGCTCTTGGGCCTGGGCAGTGAGGTGGCAGCCAGAGACTCAGGCCTGTGGTCTGCTCCCTGCCTCTGCTCCAGTGGTTTCCTGTGGCTGGCTGGCCCCACCCCACAATGGGCACAAGGAGGGCATCAGGTATCTAGTAGGCTCCACCATCCACTTCAACTGTGACAGTGGCTACAGCCTTGTTGGGGTGAATGCCAGCACCTGCCAGAGTGATGGCACCTGGTCCAGGCCCACCCCGACTTGCGAACCAGGTGAGGACACCCTGCCTACCTGACACCCACTCACACACCCTTGGCATGCCTGCCCTCCACACTGCTGAATGTTCCCATCCTCTATGCCCTCTCTCCCAAGGCCGGAGCTACACGGTGCTGCTGAGTATCATCTTTGGAGGACTGGCCGTGGTGGGAGTGGCCGTGCTCCTCTACATGCTGCTGAGACACAGGAAGGGCCTCAGGTGAGACCCTACCGCCCCACACCAATGGTCTGGGGCCCATGCACCATCCATCGCACCTGCTCAAGACCTTGTCTCTGTTGCAGGGGCCGCTGGAGCTCACAGCCCTGAGGACCTGGGGGCAGGAGGCCAACAACCAGCCTCCCAGGAAAAAGACCTACACTCCTCAGAATGTGCACCCCATACTTGGATCCCCAGATCCCTAGCACCACATCTGTGGGATCTGGATGCCTGCTCTCTGAGCCTTTAATGCCTAGGGACCCATGGCCAGTGCCCAGCTCTGCCATGTCACCTGGACCCCAAGATCTGAGTGTGCAGTTCCTGAGGCCAGCACTCAGCGCTCTGCTCCCCAAATATTCAAGGCTCCAATTCCCATACCCAACACTCCATACCCTTGAATTTCAGAGCCTGATCCTCCCTGTACTCAAATGCCAATACCTCAGATCCCTGGGCCCTGATCCCTGATATGCTGAGACCTGGTTGCCAATAAGGGAGCCTAGGACTGATTCCTGGTCAGGCCTGAGACTGCAAGGCCCCAACAGGTACGGAGAGACCTGGGGACCTGCAAGTGAGGTCTCCCTTTGAGTTCTAGGTTTGTACTTCTAGGCCTTCTGGAAAGTAATTTGAAACCCCTCCCTGCTAATACAAAGAGAAAACAAGCTTGTGGTGTCACTGTTCCGATGTCCTGGTGTTCATGCTGGATCTCAATTCTGGAGAGTTCCACGGTTGCCCTGTAGGATCCAAAGTCACCTGGTTCTGATTCATTCACCCATTGCCAAATCATTTGAAACAGACCCTTCCCCAGACTCTGTCCATCTGTAAAGTGGGATGGGGTAACTGATCACCTGGGAGGTGGTGAGAAGGAGGGTTCAACCATGGGGGGTCATACTGGGTGTCCAGGAGACAAGACACCTGCCCTCCCCTTACACACCTTCACACAGGTGCCTGCCCCTTCACCCTGAAGCTAGCTGGCCAGGCCTGACCCTGGACACCCACCCTGCCCTGGCACTGCCCCAAAACCAGTCACTTTTAGTGCCATGGCCAAGTCCTCTGACAGGGGCTCTAATTCCAGGTCCCTGGGCCCTTTAACCAGGGGAGTCTGGAAACTAGGTACTCAGGCCCCATGCCAATACTGCCCACCTGAGGCCACGCCCTTCCTTCAAGGCCAGGCAGCTGGCATGGGGGGAGGAATATGTGGAATCATAATGGCTAGGAGCTGGTTTTTGTGGTGAGAATAATGAATGGGGGCCTTGGGGGGTCAGAGATGCTTTGTACATCTCAGACTGAAAATCAAAGACAAAGGGGAAGGCACGCTTGGAGGTTGGCACCCTTTGAATCAGATGGGTGCTAAGGCTCAGAGCAGAGGGATCCAGGCTGAGTTGGTAATGGAGATGGGGGGCGCAGGGGTTGGAGAGCTGTGAATGGGCCCAACTGTGAGTGGAGGCCCAACTGTGGCCTGCAGTGCTGTTAAGTGACCACACAGGGGCAGCAGAGGGTAGGAACAAAACAGGTGTCTGCTGCCTGGGACCCAGACCTTTGAGAGGTCAGCCCCGTCCTGCAGCAGGAACTCTAGTGGAGTGGGGTCAAAGTTCTTGCACAGCCCACCTCTGAATCTCCCCCTAGCTGAGAAGGCTATGGGCCTTCCCCAGCCTCAGGAGCTCAAGAATCTAAGAAGTTACGCAACTCACCCCAGGACGTCCAGCTGGGTCAGAACTCAGGCCTACTCACCCCCTTGTCCTTAGCAGAGAGCTAAGGATCAAGGTGATGATGGGGTGTCCAGTCTGAAGGCTTCCTGGAGGAGGCAAGTATGCACAAGAGTCACATCCAAAGAACAAAGCTGTGAGGGATTGGGGATCTCCGTAGGGGGTTGTTTCCCCGAATCCTCTAGAGGAGGGGGTGTTTCCTACCACTCCAACACAGCCTCCTGTCATCCTCCTGTGATCTCTCTGGGCTCCCAGTTTCAGTCAGGGTAGGCTGAGGGCCAGCCCCTTGACCACAGGGCAGGTACTTTCCTCTCTGCAGATGAAGTAAGGCAGGGTTGGCTCCCACCCTGAGTCCCTGTGTGTCTCTTTACTGAGCCAGGAAAGTCAGGCACTCACCGGGTGAGAAGTCTGTGTGCTAGCAAGGCAGCCCAAGCATGTGGGAGCACGCACAGGGGCCCGGGAAAGCAGGAGCAGCCTCACAACTGTGACAGAGCCTCAAAGCCTCAAAGAATTCTAAGATGTATTTGGTCAGAGGCCATTCCAGGTAAAGGATCAGTCATAGCAAAGATTCAGAGGAAGCATAAAGCTTGGTCTCAACAGCAGTGGAGGGGAGGGGTGGGGCCACAGCTGAGGCACCGCCCTACCATGTTAGGCTGCATCCCTCTGTCTCCCTCACTTTCCAGCCTTCTGCAGGAACTGGGCCTAGAACTGCCTCCTCCCCTCCCAGGCAGGAAAAAGGGTGCATTGTCTGTGGTCCTGGCCCAAGGCAAAAAGGCACTGCCAGGGGTAGGTCCCGCTGGGAAGCCCCAGCACCTGACAGGGGCCCCTAGGGCATCAGAGGTGTTGCTGGGCCTGTGTGTGCAGAAAGTCCCAGAGCCCAGCATAGATTTCCTAGAGACACCAAAGGCAAAGGCCCCTACCTCAGGGAGGTGTTCTCCCCAAATTGTGGCCCCAAGGAATCATGGCATGGACCAATGACCTCTGTCTTACTCCTTGAGCCCCAGTCATGGGTTTTGGGCCAGCCGTGCAGGGACTTGGAAACAGAGGTGATGGGAGAACTGAAAAATAAACAGACCGAAGTAGTCATGGGATCCCATCAGTATCCTGGACTGAGGGGCAGAGGGGGATGGGCCACCTAGCACCACAAAAGTGATACCAGAATTGTCAGGCCTAGTCTCCAGCCAGGAACGGATCCCAGGCTGCAGGGGCAGCACTAAGTCCCAGCCGCTAGACCCCCACGGGTTGGTGTCTCACGAAGCCGCAGCAGGAACTTCGCAGACGCTCAGGCAAGCAAGCGAGAAGAGGCAGGTTTGTTTAGAAAAAGTTTATTGAGGAGAAAAAGAACAGAAATAAAGTGGGACTCCCAGGCCAGGGAACCAGGCCTGGGAGGGGCAAGGAAGCCAAAGTGGAGTCGTGTCTCGGGGAATATAAACTTTCTTTCCCTGATTATTCTAAAGCTCCACCAGTCTCTCTGTGATTGGTCAGTTCTCGGCTGTCTCACTTAATTTGCTACTGAGTGGGGGATCTTCACATTCCTTATCTAACAGCTTTGTCTTTCCCCATTTGTTACATCTTTATCTTTATGGCCTAGTCTTCCGGGAGAGCATCTCCACACTTTATCACCTGAAGAAAACCAGGACCATCCTGGATATTGTCCGTGGTCCTGGAATGTTTGTTTTTCCCATTTTGTTAACAATGGTCCTGGGATGTTTGTTTTTCCCAGTGGAATGGGTTACATTCCCTTGGTTGTCCTTATCTCTGAAGCCTCCCTAAATTCTTCAGAGGTCCCCTCCGGCACTGTCCCTAAAACTGCCTAATAACCCTAGCTTGCCCTGTGTCTCAAAAGGGTTGCTGAACAGCTGAAACTATGCAGGCCCAAGGTGGAGAAAACTCTGCTGCTCTCCAGCCTCCCACTAATGCTTCCCAAGGGCAGGGCGCGGTGCGGAGTGTCTGATGTAGGGGCAAGGGGCCAGTGGGCACAGTGGGGAGTGGGGTCCATCCCTTGGCCTGGGTGGTAGTATGCCTGCCCTGGGCCGCCCCGTGCCTGGGCTGCTCACCAGGGACACTGCCCCAGGAGGAGGGGGAGCCAGTGCAGCGCATAGTGGGAGTGGAGGTCAGGGGGCTTCCTGGAGGAGCCCCGCAGAACCTCAAAAGATAAAACCATAAGGGAAATATAGGGAAACCTAACAAAGGATCAGGAAAACAATAAAACTAGCAGGCAAACCATAGATCTGAGGCCTACAGCAGGGAAGGGGGAAGGAGAAGGGTCAAGAGAGGGGAGAGAGGAGCATAAGGAACTATGGTTCATGTGTGCTGTGGTGGTGGGAGAGCTATAGGGACTATACCTGAGGGGGGAAATCAAATAATGTACAAAAGTGAACAACGATGTAAGAAAATAAAAGAATAAATTAAAAACAATTAGTGAAGTGGGTTGAGTAGGTACGTGTGTGCTGTCCACACTGCCCAGATGCCTGTACGGCCCGTTCACAGGACTGTGTTCCCAGCCTCCCTTGCAGATGGGGTGTTCACATGACTGAGATCCAGTCAGCGAGTTGTGAGTGAGAGGCAGCTCCGGCCTGGCTGCAGTACCGTCCACAGGCACCCTCCAAGCTTTCCCTAGGTTTTCTCCAAGTCAAAGATGACACTAGCAGCCCTGGGTCCCCACATGTGGGAGAGAGAACGACAATCTGTTCAACCAGTGCTGCTGGTTAAATTCTCTGTGATTTTGGGATTCCATTTCGGGATCTACTTATTGCAGCAGTCAGTTCCTCTGTACACGAGGCAGAGGTGGAGAATGACCTCACATTGTTCATCAGTGTTGGAAATAAATGCTATGTGCAAGGCTTGGAAAAGTTCAGATAAGGGCCTCCCTGGTGGCACAGGGGTTAAAGACAGAGCTTATCAAGCTATCACCAGCCACTACAGCACGACAGGCCAGCCAGTGTGCAACCCACATGGCGCAGCAGACCTCTCCTGTCTCGCCCACTGCTCCCCTCAGCAGAGTATTTCAGTAGATTCACCATTCTGTTCCCCACTCTGTCTCTGTCGAATCCTCTCATACCCCTTTTCTGGCAACTCTGGCCTGTACCCCAGTTCTTGTAAGCATAAATAAATAAATCTTTAAAAAAATTTAAAATCTTTAGGCATCTCCTTGGTGGTGCAAGGGGTTGGGACATAGCACTATGCAGCCACTGCAGCACGAGTTTGACCCCTGGCCAGAGAGCTACCCACATGGCCCAGCAGACCTCTCCTGGCTTGCCCACTGCTCCCCTCAGCAGTGAATTTCAGTCAGTCTGCCTGTTCTGCTCCCCATTCTGTCTCTGATGAATCCTCTCACCGCCCCCTCATCTCTGGCCTGTACCCCAGCTCTTGTATGCATTAATAAATAAAAGCTTTAAATAAAAAAAGCTTTTAAAAAGTCAGATATAACAATGCTCATGGCAGCATTATTCACAATGGCCAAAAGGTGTTGATCATTATCTTGTACACCTGAAACATAATGTTATATGTCAGTTACACCTCAATTGTAAAAAGTAGTCAAAAGGCGGAAGCAACGCAAGTGTCTGTCAGATGAATAAATAAACAGGAGTAGTTAATGGATGTTTAACAGGATTAAAAAAAATACACTGGGATATTATTTGGCCTTGAAAACGAAGGAAATTCTGACACATTATAACATGGATAAATCTTGACATTGTACTAAGAGACAGAGCCAGGCATGAAGGACAGATGCTGTATGATTCCACTGATGTGAGGTGCATGGAGTGATCAGGTTCATAGAGACAGGAAGTGAGGAGGTTGTGAGGTGTGGGGTGGGGGAGTTATTATTTAATGCGTGCAGAGCTTCTGTTTGGGAAGATGCAAAGTTCTGGAGATGGAGGGTGGTGATGGTTCTACAATAATGTGAATGAGTGTATTAAATGCCACTGAGCCTACACTTAAGATGGTTAAGATGGTAAATTTTATGTTATGTGGATTTTACTACAGTTAAAAGTTCAAGCAGAGCAA